GGCCATCCTACCAAAAGCAATTTACAGATTCAACTTATTCTATTAAAAATCTCAATGATGGGCCCTTCCTGGTGGTGCAGAGGGTTAAAGCACAGCACTGAGAAGCTAAAGCCACTTCAGCGTGAATTCGATCCCCATACCCGGAGGTGACCCATATGGCGCAGCAGACCTCTCCTGAACCACCCACTGCTCCCCTCAGCAGTGTACTTTATCAATCTGCCTGTTCTGCTCCCCACTCTGTCTCTGGTGAATCCTCTCACTGTCCCTGTACCTCTGGCCTGTACCCCAGTTCTGTATGCATAAATAAATAAATCTTTAAAAAAAAAACTCAATGACATTCTTCAAAGAAAACAAAACAAATACTGATGAAATTCAAATGGAACCACAAAAAGGCTTTGGATAGCCAAAGCCCTACTGATGAAAACAAAGGAGAATAGAGGTATCACACTTCAAAACTTCAAGCTATCCTACAAAGCCATAATAATTAAAACAGGGTGGTACTGGAACAAAAACTGACACACAAACCTTGGTTTTGACAAAGGAGCAAAGAACATATAATATAAGGACAGTTTTTTCAATAAATGGTGCTAGAAAAACTGGTCCACCATAAGCAAAAGAATGAATCTAGACCATTATTTTATACCATGCATAAAATCAACTAAAATGTATAAAAGATCTGGACATGATACCTGAACCCATGAAATGTATAGAAGAAAATATAGCCAAAACAGAACCAGATATACATCTCAGAAACATCTTAAAAGACTCACTAGGGTCCTCCCTGGTGGCTCAGCGGGTTACAGCACAGCACTAAGAAGCTTAAGCCACTTCTGCATGAGTTTGAATCCCACCTGCCGCCTGCCCTGGAGGAGCGCCACATGGTAAGGCAGACCTCTCCTGACCTGCCCACTGCTCCCCTCAGCAATGTACTTCATCATCGATCTACCTGTTGTGCTCCCTGCTCTGTCTCTGGTAAATCCTCTCACCCTCCCCATCTCTGGCCTGTACCCCAGTTCTATATCAATCAATAAATAATCTTTAAAAAAAAAAAAGACTCATCACCCAAAGTAAAGAAAATGAATGAACAGATAAACACCTGGGACTACATCAAAAGCTTCTGTACAGCAAAAGAGACATTAACCAAAATAAAGACATACTCTGCTGATTGGGAGAAAAATCCTTGCACACCATGCCACTGATAAGGGACTGATCACAATGATACACAAAGAACTCAAATGAATCAACAAAAACAAAACAAACAATGCAGTTAAAAAATGGGTAGAAAGGGCCCTCCTTGGTGGGGCAGCGGGTTAAAGCACTGCACTAAGAAGCTTGAGCCACTCCCGCATGAGTTTGACCCCCGCCTGCCCCAAAGGTGACCACATGGCGTGGCAGACCTCTCCTGACCCGCCTGCTGCTCCCCTCAGCAGTGTATTTCATCGATCTGCCCGTTCTTCTCCCCACTCTGTCTCTGGTGAAACCTCTCACTGCCCCTGAGCCTCTGACCTGTACCCCAGTTCTGTATGAATAAATAAAATCTTTAAAAAAAAAATGGGTAGAAGAACTTAAGACACTTCTCCAAAGAGGAAATGCTTATGGCCAATAAGCATATTAAAACATGTTCAACATCTCTTATAATCAAGGAAATACTAATCAAAACCACAGTAAGATACCACCTTACACCAGTGAAAATGGCATATATTTTAAAAAAAATTGCAACAACAAATTTTGGCATGGATTGGTGAAAAGGAACTCTCCTACATGGTGGGAATGCAAAATTGTACAAACATTATGGAAAGCTTTATGGAGGTTCCTCAGATTACTAAAAATGGAGCTACCATATGACCCAGCAATTCCACTCCTAGGGATCTACCCAAAGGACACAAAAATATTAATTCAAAAGGATATCTGCACTTCTATGTTTATTGCAGCTTATTTACAATAGGTAAAACCTGGAAACTACCCAAATGCCCCCAAATAGATGACTGGATTGAGAAGATATAGTATATATATACACAATGGAGTGCTATTCAGCAATCCAAAAAATAAACGAATACTTTTTGCAGCAATATTGATGGAGCTAGAAGGAATTATGCTCAGTAAAATAAGTTAGAAAGAAAAATAAAAATATCAGATGGTTTCACTTATAGGAAAAATATAGGTGGAAAACAATAACAATACAACACAACAATAACAAAAAAAAACCACATACAATTATAAACCAGAGAAATCCTACATGAGAGGGAGAGGGAGAGAAATTGAAAGGAAGGAGGGAGAAGTACAGGGGACTTCGGTGATGTTGCACAGGTGACTTGGGTCAAAATTCTACATGGTCTACACCTGAAGGGGTTGTAAGCACTGTTTAAAAATGAACAATGGGGCCCTCCTGGTGGTGCAGCAGGTTAAAGCACAGAACTAATATGCTAAAGACACTTCAGCATGAGTTCAATCCCCACCCCAAAGGTGATCCATATGGTGTGGCAGACCTCTCCTGACCCATCGGCTGCTCCCCTCAGCATTGTACTTCTTAGTCGGCCTGTTCTGCTACCCACCCTGTCTATGGTGAATCCTCTCACTGCCCCTGCACCTCTGGCCTGTACCCCAATTCTGTATGCATAAATAAATAAATATTTTTTAAAAACCCAATTCTGTATGCTTAAATAAATATTTTTAAAAAATGAACAATGACATAAAAATATACAAATGCATAAATTCAATCTAATACAGTAAAAACAGGGCAGAAATTAAAAGCTCAACTGGAGGGTTAGAAGATTAAAGCTAATAATAACTTCCAGAATGTTTCACAAAAGGCTAAAAATAGAGCTTCCATATGATTCAGTAATCCCACTACTAATCACATACACAAAGGACACAAAAACATTGAATTAAAAGGATACTTGCACCCCCATGCTTATCGCTGTTCTCTTTACAATAAGGAAGACATGGAATCAATTCAAAAATAAACGACTGGATTAAAAAGATGTGGTATATATACACAATGGAATATAACTCAGCAATCAAAAAAGATAAACTCATGCCTTTTTCAGCAACATGGATGGAGCTGGAAGGATCATGTTTAGTGAAATAAGCCAGAAAGAAAAAGAAAAATACCAGATGGTTTCACTCATAACAGGATTGTAAGGAAATGCGGGGGGCAGAGGAAGAAGAGAAACAAATGTAATAGATTAAAAATCAAAACAATGAACAACTATAAACCAGAGACATTGTATGGGGGTAGAAAGGGGAATAGGATCAGAACTGGGTGGGAAGAGTGCACTGGACTATGGTGATGGCACAGGGGTGAATTGGTTGTGAGAAGCCCATGGGGATTACAACTGCAATGAAAAAAATGCATAAAATGAAGAATGATGTAAAAAATTAAAATAAATAAAAATAACTTCCAGAAATGTGTATTAAAAGATGTCTTTTAATGGAAAACAGGAAACATAACAATGTTGGAGAAATGTCAAAACAACAGCATTTCCAGAAAGAGAAAGCAAAAGAGAAAAAAATCCATGGAAGAAATTTTCCCAAAATGAAGGTATATAAGTTTTACCACATTGGGGCAGTCCACTGAGTATCCAACTTAGTGGGTGAAAATGGAACCAAACCAAGATACAACAATGTGAAATTTTAGAATACTTAGAAGATATTACAAACTTCCACAGGGGAAAAAACTGAATTGCAAGCAAAAGACATAGAACAAAACAACACTGGACTTCTCAAAATCAATACTAAAAGTGCATGGAGTAATGAACTTTAAATTAAAAAAAAAATAATGTTTTACTTAGGGAAATAATCAATGAAGTATGAAGACAGAATAATGACATTTTCATACATGCAAGTATCAAATAATTTGCATTCCCTGTATCCTTTCTTAAAAGCCAGCAGGGAAGTGTGCCACTAACACATGTAGATAAACCAAGAAAGACACAGGATTTAGGAACATGAAATCCAATACAGGGGAGAAGTAGAGAAGTTAAGGAAGATAGTAAAGGCAATTACCAGGAAGATATCTGTGTACCAGATGTCTAGGGTAATCATTCCATATTAGAATAGTTTGAATGTTAAAGGCTTTCCTCTATAACAACTCTACTGTCATTGTCCCATATATATATTTTTCTAACCTGAGGACAGAATGCCCAGGCAAGCCTGGCTCAGAGTATCTGCAGTTGGCTAAAACTGACCACATGCTGCCAAAGCCCATGCACACCTTCGCTCCAAGCACTGCAGCAGCATGGATCAGATGTGGACCTGCCTTCCACCCCACAGAACTTAGCTGCTTTCATCTACTTTTCAGGGGGTGGTCATGGGGTGATTAGAAGCAGAGAAGTCAAAGGGACCCATTCCCTGTTAAACCGTATTATTACCATACAAATCATTTCTGGCCCATACAACAACACAGCTCTGGTGCCCTGCCTGTGGTATTTCATGCGTTTACTTGCCCGGACTCACCCACTAATTCCCCCAGAAGTAGCTTTTGTAAACCACTGGAAATCTGATGCCAAACTATGACAGACAAACTGTTCTGCTCATCTCTCCTGGAAATCTTTTCCTAGTACATCAAGGAAACATCTAGTACATCTAGTACATCTAGGAAACATCTAGTACATCTTTAGTGACCAATTAGGTGTGTGCTTGCCGCTCAATTTTTCAAAATGAAACAATGTATTACTTAAGTACACTATAATGAAAAACAAAAGAATGAATAATAAAAAAAAGTCACAGTAGTTAGGTTATGAGAAGCGAATATAACTTGGAGTGGCACACAAGCACTTCAAAGAGATAAGTAATGCTCTATTTCTGAGAAAATGGTAGAGTTTTATTATCCTTTATACCATGTATAGAAATTTAATATACTGTTATAAAATTCATAATAAAATAAAAATTACAATTAAAAAATAAAAGTAGAAAATGAGAGGATTAAAACCTATGAGGAGAAAGGAACCAACCCCAATATTATAAGGGGGAGGAGTGGGACAATGGTAAAATTTACTTACCATTTCATATGCTACTTCCTCAGGTGTATCTGTCTCTAAATTGAAACTGAATTCAATAGCTTCATTGTCTTTGTGCTTCCCTTTCAATTTTTTAGGGTCTTCAACCCAAAGTCTTAAAGCCAGGGATGAATTTGAGCAATCACCTTCCTCTGCTAATTCCACCCTTAGTCCTGTATCCTCAGCAAAAAATGTGTGGTTTAGTAGGTCCCTGATAGACAACCTAATAAACAAAATATGTATCTTATTATCAATTCTTCCGATCATAAATAAAATATAGAACCCTTAGTGGTTAAAAATTAGTTGTATCCAAGTAACAATCTTATTTTAAATTTTCTATCCATTAAGACATTAACCAGTCTTCTTATAAAAATCAAATCTTATGTCCCACTCATTATTACTAATAATGCCAAGAAATTCCAACTAACATGCACATGCAGTAAACTTAAAGATTCTTACCAGTAATACATCTAGATACTGAAGTTTAATATACCTAGAAGTATTCCTAGAGGGAAATAGAGAAGTACTGCAGCATGCATATGTAGACTGAGTAGTTTCCCTAAGCCACTGGTTTATAAATTACTAAAACTCAACAACAGATTCTCAGCAAAGAACACCAAAAACAGTTCTGGATATTTAAATACCAAGGTAAACTGGAAATTCAAACTTTTACAAATGTTATAAATAGAAGTCATTGACTCCATCATGGATAATCTAGTCAGTATATTTTACTTTTCAGAGAATACCATGGCTGAAGTTATTTTAATTCAGCAAAGTATTGTAATTTCCTCATAGTATTTAAGCTTATATTTAGGTCAAAGAACATTATAGACACAATTCTAGCCTAATATTAGGCATTAAACATGTCAGAAGAGGAAAAAAATGACAGGGTTCAAAAAGTTCTTTTACAAGCTGGAATAGTTAATTTCCTTTTCTTTCGTCAACTTTTAAATCAGACATATTAATATTTAATCTATTGTAGGTCAGGGAGAGCTAAAATGGAAATACTCCATATTGTCTATGTGGAAAGTCTACACCTCCAATACTATCTAAACCATATAAACCAGATTAAAGCATGGTATTCTGTAAACTGAGGATTTTCAAATCTCTGCATTTTAGTATTCAAATGACAAATACTTAACTAAGATAGTGATATAAAATGAATACACTTACTGAGTCCAATTAGTTTTATGTTTAAAGAAGACACAGCCAGGTTAAACCCTTTACCTCTCAATGAAATTAGCCTATAACTTAATAAGGAATAATAGTAATAAAAGACATAATTTATTAAATGCTACTATGTTAGATTCATTACCTTTTTATTATCAAAAAAATAAGTATTTTAAGGAACATCTGGCTAAGTAACTTGCTCAAGATCACACTTGGCTAAGCAAGACTCCAAATTTGAATCATAATCTGATGATAAAACCCATGTTCTTTCCAACATAATAGTATGCCATGAATCCTTTCGAGTAATCCAGTGCTTTGATAATAGATGATAATTAAAATGCTGTATAGTCAGCAGTTAAAAGTTAAAATGGCTACTTTAACACAGTATTTTTTGGTTCATTTTAAAAAGGTATGCCTAAATTCCTACAACTCAAAAAGAAAAATTAACAATTTAAAAATGGGCAAAGGACCTGAATAAACATTTACCCAAAAAAAGATACATAAATGACCAATAAGCACATGAAAAGGTAGTCAATATCATTAGTCATTAGGACAATTCAAATCAAACTACAATCAAATCCACACACATTAGAATGGCTTTAATTAAAAAAAAGGAAATAACAAGTGTTGATGAGAACACCAAGAAATTGGAAGCTTTGTATGTTGCTTAAGGGTATGCAAAATGGCATACAAAATGTGGGAAAAGCAGCTGTTGCGCAGCGGGTTAAATTAAAGCACAGCACTTAAGCCACTTCCGCATGAGTTCAATTCCCGCCTGCCCCGGAGGTGAGTGACCACTTGGCGTGGCAGACCTCTCCTGACCCGCCCGCTGCTCCCCTCAGCAGTGTACTTCGTCGTCGATCTGCCTGTTCTGCTCCCCACTCTGTCTCTGGTGAAGCCTCTCGCTGCCCCTGAGCCTCTGACCTGTACCCCAGTTCTGTATGCACAAATAAATAAATCTTTTTTTAAAATGTGGGAAAAGCTTATTTTTTCCAAAAAAAAAAAGATCCAGTAATTCCACCTCTAGGTATATACCAAAAATAATTGCAAGTAGGGATTATTTAAGGAAATACTTTTAAGCCAGTGCTCAAGAAACACTGTTTATTTACAACAGCCAAAGGCAGAAATAACCCATGTCCAATAAATAAATGGATAAACAAAATATGGTGTGTGTATACACACCATAATGTAGTGGTTTAACCTGTTGCGCCATCAGGGAGAGCGCATATTATTCAGCCTTAAGGAGGAAGGAAATTCCGATACATACTATAACAGGGATCAATCTTGGAAATACTATGCTAAGTGAAGTAGCTAGACACAAAAGGAAAAATATTCTTTGACTCCAATTTAAGAGGTACTTAGAGTAAGTAAATTCATAGAGACAGAGAGTTAAATAGAAATTACCAAAATTGAGGGGAAGGGGTAATAGGGAGGTGTTGTTTAATGAGTACAGACTTTGTTTGGGTTGATAAAAAAAAGTTTTGGAAATAGTAGTGATAGTTATACAAAAATGTGAATGTACTGAGTGCTATTTAAAATGATGAAAATGGTAAATTTTAGGTTAGATATAATTTACCATCTTAAATATATATGTGACTAGGGCTCTCCCTGGTGGCACAATGGGTTAAAGCACTGCATTATGAAGCTCTAGAAGCCACTGCAGCAAGAGTTCGATACCAGGCCAGGGAGTTGACCCACATGGCGTGGCAGACATCTCTTGTCTTGTCCGCTGCTCCCCTCAGCAGTGTACTTCACCAATCTGCCTGTTCTGCTCCCTACTCTGTCTCTGGTGAATCCTCTCACTCACCACATCTCTGGCCTGTACCCCAGTTCTGTAAACATAAATAAATAAATCTTTTAAAAAATATATTAAAATCTTAAAAATATATACTGGATATACCTTGTTGGTACAAGCACTAAGAATTTTCTGCAATAAGGCTTTATCTTAGTGGCCTTATATATTTTCAGATATGCAAACTAAATTCAGATTTTAAAAAACTAGTAAAAATAGGGAACAGTCAGTAAAATGTAGACCTAGATAATTTCTATAGAGAACATACCATCTTTATTCATCATAATCAATAAGGAGGTAAAAATCAAAAGACTAACCTACCAAGATAAATCAGCAACTTACCAAATTTCTGACAAGAGAATAAATAAACTAAAACTAAGGGAAATTATCCATAAAAAAAAATGAATTGTAACACAAATATATCTATAATATTATTTCTTGAACAAAAATAAACCTAATTGTTTTACCAGTAACATGACACAATGACATACGGTCAAATAAAAAAACACCTGGTGTATTGATGGTTAAAAATTTTTTAAAACTATCATAAAATTAAGTATCAGGCATGCAGAAGTTCTTTACCATTAACTGTTACAAGTAAGTTAACCTAGTGGAGGTCCACTGACATTTAGACCAATGGATGAAGGTCATGAAAACTTGTCACAAAAACAAGCACACAAAACCCAAATGTTGGTTCAAGGAAAACTCAAAACTCAACACATGATAAAAGTCTAAAATGGCAAATAAGATGCACATACACACTTTACTCTAGACAGTATAGCTTGTCTTTCACTCAAAAGTCAGAAAATGCACCAGTGTAAGCTAAGAGGAAAATGCATCTATCAGTTTTGTCATTTCACTACATTTATACCCGCCTTGCAGATTTGTTTTGACGAATACATCCTTCAATGATTTCTTTCACTTCAGGATCAGTGACTTTATTGAAACTGGCTGGCTTTATACCCTAGGAGAAGAAATATGACTTTCAATCACAAATTAAGCAGTTGAAATCCCAAATCAATATGACATTAAAATAAATTTTACCATTAAACCATATTCAAGTTTTAAATGAAATAAACATATGTACACAGAGTAAGTTTAACAACTTTCTGACAAGAATTTTATTATGGCTCTACCAAAAAAAGTGAAAATTTATAAGTAATAGAAATCTCTAATGAGAGGCAAAGTTATATAAATTTTGTAATACATACGTTAGCATGCAGAAAAAAAAATTCTCAAAGTAACCAATAACAGAGAAAACTCATACTTCAGCAGATAGTCGGGAAAACTATGATTGAAAAATGTGCATATAGTATAACCCCAATTAGCAAAACATAATAAACAAGCAATTTTTTTAAATCAGAAAAAAAATCAATATAAAACATTTTAAAATAGTTGTCTGATAGAAATATTCTGGCACTCTCATTTGAGGAGTAAATGTTGATGAGTGTTATGTATTCCTAATGTATCTTCCCCTTAATCACAATGTAGCGACCAATCTGTGTCTCTTTTAACATTTTTTAGTTTGAAGTCTAATATATCTGATAGAAGTATCACTGCCTTTTATTTGTTTTGGTCCATTTGCTTGTAGAATTCTTTTCCATTCTTTTACTTTCAGTCTATGCCTATCTTTTTCAGTTAAATGTTTCCTGTAAACAGCAAAGGATTGGGTTCTGTTTTTGAATCCAGCTACTCTGTGTCTTTTTATCAATGAGTTTAGTTCATTTACATTTAAAATTCCAAATAAGGCTTCTCTACTAAAAACATTCTAAGCCAATACTATTTCAAGTTCTAAATCCATATAATAGTGCTAACTGCCTTAACTTGCTTATTTTACATTCTATTACCCTTAATTTATGAATTTTAGATTTAAAAATCCAATTAACGTCACTTCAGAAAATTCCAAACTAAGCTAGAAGCAGACAGGTATAATAGAATAATTTTCCTGGGGTGAGTTCAATCTAAGATATAGTCTGTCAAATCTCACAGGAGTCCATCAGAAAACTCAACAACTAACCCTTGAACAACATGAGAGCAGGGAGTGGTTAAGGGCACTGACTCATCCCCTGTGCAGTCAGAAATCTGAATATAATTAACTTAATTATTAATAGCCTGCAGATTACTGGAAAGCCTACCAATTAAGTCAATTAACAAATATTTTGTATGCTATATGTATTATATACTGTGTTCTTACAATAAGCTAAAGAAAAATGTTATTAATAAAATCACAAGAAAGAGAAAATACATTATAGTATTGTACTGTATTTTTGGATACCATAAGTTTATGTTGCCTATTTATAATATGAATCAACTGTTAGTATGTTTGTTTACATTTCTCTTGACTGCAAATGGCCTCATATTCAGGCTATGTTTACATGAGTTTTGAAAAATTCTAATATTGTATAATAGATTTGTACATGTTTTGTGGTAGTGATTATCATCTACATTTTTTATAAATCCATTATATACCAAACCTTTTCTATTTTTTTTATATTTCTAGGCTATTCAGTTCATCTGTAAGTTTTTTCAAATTGTTACATATCTCCAAAACATTTTCCAATATATGTAATGAAAACAATCCATGGACAAGTAAGCCTGCACAGTTCAAACCTGTGCTATTCAAACTCATGTTAATCAAAGTCAATTGTACTAGATAAATCTGGAGAGATCAGAAGTTAATTAGGACCCCAAATTGAAGTTTTAATATAGATGGACTCTATCATGATAAGGACAATTAGTGCTTTCCTCTGTTCTGGGAAGCTACAACTTAACAAAATCAAGAACAAACTCTTCTATTTAAGATCATCCAATAAATGGACGCGTAGTAATAGACCATTCGTTTATTCTTACCACTCTATCTCACCTCTTTGTCACAGAAATTTTCAAGCACTCTCAAAAGTAAAATATTCTAAGAAACCCGAGGCGGATAACCATTACAAACTACAACACAAGCAACATTTGTCATCCTTGCTTCCACTATCTATCCTCACACCCTTTTTATCCTAGAGTATTTTATTCTTTAAAGATGTATTTTATTTCTTTATGCATACAAGAGCAAGTCAGAAATCTGAATATAATTAACTTAATTACTAAGTTAGAGGTGCAGTGTGGTGAGGAGATTCACCAGAGACACTGGGGAGCAGAGTGGGTGGATTGACAAAAATATACAACTGAGTGAAGCAGCGGGTGAGACAACAGAGGTATGCTATGCCATGTGGGTCACCTTCCTGGCTGGGACAAACTCTGCCCATAGCTTCATAGTGCTGCATTTTAACCCATTGCGCCACCAGGGAGGGCCCTATTTGATTTTTTTTTAATGCAATTGTGAATAGAATTTTTTTCTTATTAATTATTTGCACATAAAAATGCAAAGAATTTTGTATCTTGAATTTGTAATCTTCCACCTCACTGTATTCATTTAGTTTTTCAAATAGCTTTCTTGTAGTATTTCAGGGTTTCTATCATATACTATCTTATCGCCTAAAAATGAGTTCAATTCTTTATGTCCAACCTAGATTCCTTTTATTTCCTGTTGTTGTCTAATAGCTTTAGTTAAATCCTCTAATACTAAATTAAACAGAAGTAGTCACAGTGGGCATCCTTGTTTTGTTTCTTATCTTAAAGAGGAAGCTTTTAGGTTTTCACCATTAAGTATTATATTGGTTATAGGTGAGTGAGATATGACATTTATTATTTTGAAGTAGATCTATTCCCATCTTGTTTTGTTTTTGGTTTTTTTAAGATTTATTTATTTATTCGTACAGAACTGGGGTACAGGCCAGAGATGCGGAGGGTGAGAGGATTCACAGAGACAGAGCGGGGAGCAGAACAGGCAGATCGAGGAAGTACACTGCTGAGGGGAGCAGTGGGCGGGTCAGGAGAGGTCTGCCAGGCCATGTGGATCTCCTCCTGGGCAGGCGGAGATCAAACTCATGCTAAAATGGCTTTAGCTTCTCAGTGCTGTGCTTTAACCCCCTGTGCCACCAGGGAGGGCCCATCTTGACTTGTTTTTAATAAACAATAATTGAATGTTATCAAATGCTTTCTCTACATCTGATTTACCATTATTTTATCTTTATGGATATTGTTACAATGTATTACATTAAATCTTTTAATGTAATGTGTAACATTGAATATACATATATATTAAACCATCCTTGCATCCCTGGAATAAATGCCACTTGATCATGACATTTGATCCTTCCTTGTAAAGAATTGTTGAACTCAATTTTCTAGTAATTTATTGAAGATTTTCACATTAATATTCATCAGAGATACTGGTCTACAGATTTCTTGTGTTCTTTGTTTGGTTTTGGTATGATTGCTTCACAAGACATATTAGGGAGAATTTCTGGATTTTAGAAATAATTTGGCCAAGATAGGGATATGTTCATTATTTTATTTTTTTTTAGGGACAATTCACCAAAAAGATTTAATTGTCATCAATATTTACACACCCAACAAAAGTGCACCCAAAGACATAAAACAGCATTTAACAGACAAAAAGAAATACATTGGGAGCAACACCCTAATAGTTGAGGATTTCTTTTATGTTTGTTTAAAAAAATTTTTTGGTGGGGGGGCATATTTTCTTTAAAGTTTTAACAGAATTCTCTTATAAAGTTGTCTGGCCCTATGTTTTTATTTTTTTAAAAAGATTTATTTTATGTATGCATACAGAACTGGGGTACAGGCCAGAGGTGTAGGGGCGGTGAGAGGATTCACCAGAGACAGAGTGGGGTGCAGAACAGGCCAACTGACGAAGTACACTGCTGAGGGGAGCAGCGGGCAGGTCAGGAGAGGTCTGCTGTGCCATGTGGGTCACCTCCGAGGTGGGGATCGAACTCATGCTGAAGTGGCTTTAGCTTCTTAGTGCTGTGACCCACCAGGTGACCCACCAGGGAGGGCCCACCTATGTTTTTATTTTTAAGAAGACTTTTTAAAAAATACTATTCAATTTCTATGTTTCTGGTAATTTTATTAAACTCTTCTGATTCTTCCAGGTTTAGTCTTGGCAAATTGCATCACTGTAAAAAAATTTTCCATTTCTTCAAGGTCATTGAATGTATTGATTTACAATTGTTCAGTAATTAAAGCAATCATTTATGGTCCTTTGTATTTCTATGCTGTCTGTGGTAATTTCTCCTCTCTCATTTATAATTGTTATGATTTTGTTTCTTCGTTTTTATGTTAGTCTAGTTAGAAGTTTATCAATTTCATCTTCTTGAAGAGGTAACTTAATTTCATTGATCATTTGTATTGTCTTTTTTTATTTCTAATTCATTGATTCTTCTACTTTTACATTTCCTTTCTTTTATTAACTTTTCTTATTCCTCTTTTTCAAGTTGCTTTAGGTGTAATATTAAGTTGTTCATACTGGATTTTTTCGGGCTTGTACTACAATTAAGACCATTTTTGCGATACTCTATAAATCCTGATAGCATTTATTCTCATTTCATTAGTGCTAAGGTTTTTTGTTTTGTTTTAATTTCCTCCTTAGTTCAACACCTATTAAGCAGCTTGTTGTTCAGTCTCAATGTATTTAAGGTTTATGCAGTTTTCTTTATATAGTTGATTTTCAGCCTTATTGCATTGTGGTCAGGAAGAGCAAGTGGTCTGATTTCAATCTTCACATTTTCATTGACAATTACTTATACCACAATTGTGGCCTTATTTATTATATTGTCTTCCCACACAAACTTCTGGAGTCAGACATATTTGGATTCAGTGAAATCAAAAACTCTGATTCTCAGTCTTATATGTAAAATTGAAGATGATGCCATTTTGTTTGGATAAAAAAGACAGCATGTAGCATAAGCATGTAGCATACAGTATAGATTTAATAATAACATCTATTAGTACTAGTCGCCTGAAACATTCCAATGATTGCTTTCACAACCTATTCTGAGCCACCCAACCAGATATGAGTAAACTTCTTTTAAAGAGTCCTAGTACTTTGCCTCTACCTATCTTATATCCCTTACCTATACTTTCATCCTCTTATTTTTATATTTATTTGTCAATCCATATTACTGCCCTACTAAAATTATAAGCTCTTTGTAGGTAGCCAACACTTTTTACCCATATTTGCATCCCTTGCAATTTGTAACATAAAACAATTACAACAAGGAACCTAATTCTGCATCTGTTCAATCATATTTTTATACATACTTTTATAATTAGGATTTTATAACTAGAAGAAGGCTTCAAAATCATTTAGACAACCTTTATTATTGTTTTAGAAACTAAGATATATCTAATAAATATATAAATACTGTTAGCAAGCAGGTATAGATGATATATTTGTACATTTTCCCAAGACACTAACATGGAACATTTTATATAGCCCCAATAGAATATAGGTATATAGCATAAATCTAAAGCTTGTTTTATAATAATTATGTTAAATTTGGTTATATAAAACTTAGCCAAAATTAGGTTTGACAATTGACCTATGAAATGTGGCAATTTGTGAACTAAAAAGAATAAAATAATACCTACGCTGGTTACTTTACGGTATATTTGAGCTGCATTTTGGCACTCAGAATAGGGGTACTCCGAAGTAGCCATTTCCAGCATACACATTCCAAAAGCATAGACATCCACAGATTCATCATAATGCTCTTCATACATCTCTGGGGCCATAAACTCAGGAGTCCCTATTAAGCAACACCACAACCACATTTTTATTAAAAAGTCAAATGTATCCACCAAGATGATATACGCTGTACCATAAAGAGTTAACTCCTGCTCCCTAGGGGCAAATTTATAGGAACAAAATGTGCTGAATACTTGCTATATCTATATGAAGCACTTCAATAATTTCCTTTACTATTAATAATGATAAAGGCCAATTAATAATAATTCTCAAACTTTAAGTGATTACTAAAATCTATTTTTAATTCTATCATTCTTATAGTTATTCATACTTTTCTGAATCAAATTAGTAAGTCCGCTTTCTTGACTTCTTAGAACATTTCAATAATCTTAGACATATCCCCCACAAAAATAATACCTATTGTACTAACATATATCTGTGGGGGTGTGTGAACCATTTCCCTAAACCATATACGGTGTTGTAAGCCAATGTTACCTCAATAAGAAACACAAACAAATATGAGGCAACACTACTGTATCTATCAGTGTCTTCCTAATTTTAATGCTTGTAAGGTGACTTCCACAAAAAAAAGTCTTTTTTTTTTTTTTTTAGGAAATGTATACTAGTATACTTAGAAATAAAGTATCACTGTGTATAAAAGAAATACAACTAGGATGTCTCTGAAATAAGTTAATATGTAGTAGATATCTCAAAGCAAGCAAGGGGTCAGCAAACTTCTCTGTATAGGGTGAAATAGTAAATATATTAGGCTTTGGTGTATGGTCTCTCACAATTACCAACTTTATGGAAGTGCAAAAGCAGCCACATATAATACATAAAAGAGTAAGTGTGAATGTCCCAATAAAACTGTATGTACGAAATTAGTCAGCAGAGTAAGATTTGGTCCATGACTCAGAATTTGTTTATCCCTTTTCTATATATATACAGTTACCAAATCTTTCTATCCAACCATTAAAGTACAAAATGTTAATCACCGATGACGCTCTTAGCAAATGATGTGCGCATTAAAGTGGCTAGTCCTAAATCACCAATCTTCACAGATCCAGTGGGTCCCGTGATGAAAATATTGTCACACTTCAAATCCCGGTGAATAATAGGAGGAGTCCTTGTGTGCAAGAACTGTAGCCCTTTTAAAATTTGCCTGCACCAACTCCTTAAGACCTTTGGTTTCATGACTTTAAATCGCTTTAAGTACCTATTCAAAGAAATGAAAGACCACATGTAAACCAACATATCTTCCTTATTATATAAGAAATGACAGGGTAAATCAAGTAGGCTATGCTGATACCATTCGTGTTACAAGTGTAATCACTGAGTTGTTTTCTATGGTGAACAAACTTTAAATTTAAGACCGCACTCTTACTTCAGTAAGACATCCTACCAAGTTTAACATTTTTAATTCAAAATAACAACATTCCAATTAAAATGACCTTTTGTAGAATGGTAGCACAATTTAAAAAAGAACGCTCTTCATTATTTCCTAATAACTGTTTATACAGTCACTAAAGAGTTTAACTATGTAAAACTTTAGTACAAAGATGCTAGGAAACAGAAATCTTATATACTCCACATTTAAGAATTACAAACGGGTGATTATACTACCAAATGAAAAACTGTGGTCAGAAACAAAGCAATAGACTAATTATATAATACTGCTCACTGGATATGTGAACCTAGCCATGAACCAGCCTTTGATTAACTTCTACAAAATGGCATTATTACTATAGATTTCCTATTTTAAAATTCTATAATATAGCACAAATATTAATTTCTAAAATTTTATTTTCTAAAAAGCTTCATTAATATCCTAATTTTTGATTCGGCCCTGAAACACAGATTTAGATACTACAAAATTTTTAATAAACAACTTTAACTCTTGAAAATTATTTACAAATAAAACTCCATCAGGGCTATCAGGATCAACTTACGTCTTTAAGGTTCCTGATGTCATAAGTTCAGTCACTAATACAATACATTTCTTTCCTTTTAAAATGGATTCCCAGGAATCATAAAATCGAACAATATTGGGATGCTGGAGACCTTTTAACATCTCTGCTTCTTCCTTGAACCTTTGTTGCTCAGCTTTGGTTAATTTCCGGTCCTGAAATAGATGAATGATTCCAAATTAAAGTCTAGAAATTCTCATGTAAATTTCTAAAATCACTCAAATGAGAATTTTGTTGTATTTATTTTTATATATATTTATTTTTGCCTAATAATTTTTTACTCAGGACTTACATAATTACTGGTATCTTTTGTTATTTACTTTGACTGTTTCCACACAGCAATGCAGTTGTTACATTTCATAACTATGTTGTAAATTCACCTGCATAATAAATCAATTATCTTGAAAGCCAATATCTCAGATATTAAATAAAATTTTCATGGTACTCATCTCCCAGCATACACATACATCAAACCGTATTGTTATGTATCTTAAATTGTATACATTATTATGTCAATTATATCAATAAAACTAAAAAGATAAAATAAAATTTCTTTTGCTGAGAAAGGGAATAAAATGATCTCAAAATGAGAAAAATAATACAAAAGTTTACTTAAGAAATCCCTCAATTTCCACATCTGGAAAATCTGTAATGTCTTGGCATGAATATCAAAATGTTCTTCATATAAGACATTTGTTCTGGCAAAATAACTGCATTGTCAACATATTCTTAAACATAAGTATAAAGTTACCAGCTAATGAAAGACTTTCAAGCAGAAATAGGACCTCTAATCTGCTACATTTAATGCTGGAAGTCCAAAGGAGCAATGCTTACACAATTCTGAGGGATGACTGTGACCCTAATGTTCTGACTGCAAATATGCTCTCAATTAAATTTATGAGGGAAAAATACAAAGATTTCTATGAAAACAAGGACATAAAAAGTATATCATGCTATACACTCAAAGAATTGCAATTAAAATGAGTCAAAGTACTGAAAAAGGCATCAGGAAAAAAATTAATAACAAAAAAATCAAAACAAAAGTAAAGTAACAAGCAACTGTAAATCAGAGAAATTCTGAAAGGGAAAGGGAGGAAGGGGCATCAAAACAAGGGAGGGAAGAGCACAAGGTGACTATGGAGCACAGGTGAATTGGTGATGGGATTTCTACCGGGAATACACCTGAGAAAAGAAAGCAAACATTGTACAAAAATAAACAATGAAGTAAAATATAAATAATTTCCCCAAAGTAGTCAAATATGTCCATTATAAAAGTAGGGTGAAGCAAATGGTAAACAATTAGAATATGCCATATAGATTTATAGTAAGCTATAAAATTCTGAAATACTTCATTAAAATGTAATAAAGAATAAAAAATTTTGTCTTGGGCAAGGGGAGCTATTTTAAGTTTTGATGTTGACAGAGAAACAAACATGCTAATTAAAATTTCAGGTATGGGGCCCTCCCTGGTGGCGCAGCGGGTTAAAGCACTGCACTAAGAAGCTGAAACCACTTCCGCATGAGTTCGATTCCCGCCTGCCCCGGAGGTGACCACATGGCGTGGCAGACCTCTCCTGACCCGCCCGCTGCTCCCCTTAGCAGTGTACTCCGTCGATCTGCCTGTTCTGCTAACATTTGTCTCTGGTGAACTCTTTCGCCACCCCTGAGTCTCTGGCCTGTACCCTAGTTCTGTATGCACAAATAAATAAATCTTAAAAAAAAAAAAATTTCAGGTATGTGGCCCTCCCTGGTGGCCCAGCTGGTTAAAGCACAGCACAAAGAAGCTAAAGCCACTTCAGCAGGAGTTTGATCCCACCCCGCCCCGGAAGTGACCACATGGCATGGCAGACTTCTCCTGACCCACCCATTGCTCCCCTCAGCAGTGTACTTGTCCATCTGCCTGTTCTGCTCCCCACTCTGTCTCTGGTGAAGCCTCTCACCAACCCTGCACCTCTAGCTGTACCCTAGTTCTGTATGCATAAATACATATTTAAAAAATTTTCAGGTATGCAAAGGAGAAGTGGGAGGGTATAAACGATATAGTCCAATGGACGATGGTGGAGAATTATGGATGTCTTGATAGTGGTTATGTTGTGGTTAAAAACACCTGAAGAGTGTGGTCCTATACCTCTGAATCACATACAGTCTTGCAAACTAATGTGGCCTCAATAAAAGGGAAAAATATTCCATTTTATGATGGTTGACAACATATTCCCCTCCCTTCCTAAAATACAACAAAATGACAAAATGTAAAACCAAAGTAGTGATGGAAATATGAGAAGGATTCAAACAAAAGATTTGAATCTTTATCAGGTTGAAAGTGTTCCCTTCTGTTCCAGCTTTGCTGAGCTTTTATCACAAATGGATATTGAATTTCTTCAACTGCTTTTTCTGTACCTATTGAATAATCATATTTCCTCTTCTATAATCGGTTAATAAATCAAATTACATTTTCAAATATTGAGTAATGCTTGCATTTTAAATTACATGTCTGTGTCTATAAGTAACAAATTCATAAAGGGCTAAAACTTCATATAAGTTATCATAAGGTATGTTCCCTTTAGCAAATTATTTGGCTAATCATTGTTATTATCTATTCTTATATACATAGTCTTTCAACTCTATATTTGAAATATTAAGTATTATAACAGTGGAGAAAAATTGTTGTCAATTGTTGTCTCATATTATTTCTCTTATAATTATTTTACTCTTTTCCTCAGTATGGCTATGTTTCTTTTCTCATTTTTTTCTCTCATATATTTTTGCCCTCCTATATCTTTATCACATCCATTAAGCAATTTTCAGAGAGACAAAAGTAACAGAATTTTTCTTATTTTTATGTTTACACTTTTTATTTACTTTAATTTCATTGTCTTTCATTTTCTTTTGCTGTTATTTCCCTAATTTCTTTCTTTTTTTAAAGATTTATTTATTTATGCATACAGAACTGGGGTAAAGGCCAGAGGTGCAGGGGCAGTGAGAAGATTCACCAGAGACAAAGTGGGGAACAGACAAGGCCGACTGAGGAAGAACACTGCTGAGGGGAGCAAGAGAGGTCTGCCACGCCATGTGGGAGCACCTCAAGGGCCACTCATGCTGAAGTGGCTTTAGCTTCTCAGTGCTGTGCTTTAACCCACTGCGCTACCAGGGAGGGTCCATATTTCCCTAATTTCTTCAGACAAGTATTTTCATTCTAGTTATTGTTCATCAATAAATAAGGCATTTTTACATGTCTGAACTCCAAGTAATATTGAAGATATTTTAGGTGATAAATTTTCTTCTCAGTACAGTATAGTTTTCGCAATGACCCACAAAATTTTTCTAATGTCTTATTTCTTTTTAAGTAATTTATAATTTCAGTTTTGATTTTCTCTTTGATCCAAAATTTATCTAGGAGTATGACTTATAATTTCCAATAAGTTAAAAAAAAATTTTGTTTGGGTCCTCCCTAGTGGCACAGTTCTGTATGTATAAATAAATAAATAAATCTTAAAAAAAAACTTTTTTTTTATTATTTCCAACTTTATTGAGTAATGCAAAACATAAAATCTCTTTTCTTTAGCTTAATGTTTCCTGTGGGCCATAAATTTAGCCAGCTTTTTTCAGTGACTTGTAGACTATAAAAATGTATTTTCCCTATTTTAAATATATAAGGTTCTACTTTTCCACCAAATGGAGTCTGTCGATTATATAACCCAAATCCTTTTTTATTCATTCATATTTTGTCCAGCAGATCAGTTCTATTCTGAAAGAAATGTACCCCAAATTTCCTACCATTGCTATATGTTCATCTAGTTTCACTGAATCTATGATTCTGAGTTTAAAATACTAGCCAGAATATTTTTGGTGTTTATCGGTCTTTAGTATATCTTCTTAACTTCTGAAGTAAACAAAAATAATATCCTATCTAATTATATTATCTTCATAATATCTTATGTAATGCTTTAACTTTACTTTCTTCCTTCTGTGATAGTAATAGTGCCACTCTTGCTTTCTTTTTGTTTCAACTTCATCACAGTTTTAAATTTGCTTTTAGTAGACAACACATATGGGTCTTGTCTTTTAACCCAATCTGATAATCTGAGTTTTTTTTTAACAAGTAAATGTTATATACTCACACTCAATATAGCAAATGATATACTTAATTTTGCCCTTTTCATCGTATTTTAGGTTCTCTATTTTACTTCATTGTTTTCTTTAAACCTGTTAGAAAAATATAGGGAGAAGCCTAACTATGGAGACACAAGACTTATAAACACTAAAAATTACAAAACATTGCTAGACAATTTATGTCTTAAAGAAGACATAAATAAGTAAAAACAACAATTTCTGTGGATTGAAAACTTAATATTCAGATGTCAGTGCCAAAAGAGAGATGCAGATTCAACATAATCCTATCCAAAAAACACATTAACATTTTTTTTTTTGCAGAAATAGCCAAAACCCATCCTAAAATCTATGTGGAATCCCAAGGGACATAAAATCCTCATACACAAAACAATCTTGAAAAAGAGCAAAATTGAAGTTCTTGATTTCAAAACTTACTACAAAGCTTCAGAGGTCACAATGGTATGATAATGGTATAAAGATAGTTATATAGGTCAATGAAACTGTGAAGATGTTGTTTATAGGTATAAACTTACAATTAGTAGATAAAAACTTTATAGAGATCTAATGTATAACATAATACATAATACTGTACAAACTTAAAAGTTGCTAAGAGACTAAATATTAATTGTTCTTCATTCCAAAATGATAAATATGTGACATGATAAATGTGTGAGCTAATGCTACTAATAATCATACTGCAACATTTAAACATATAAAACCAACACACCTCAAACTTACAAAATGATATACATCAATTATATCTTAACTTTTAAAAGTCTAAAAAAAGGAACTCAAAGGAAAAAAGCAAGGAATGCAAGATTTATAAGAGACATGGAAATAAACAGAATGTTTGTTTTGCTCTCTAAACTAAGATGACTAATAATCCCTAAATGTTTCTAACGAGAAATCATCACTAACGATTGATCAGACCTACCTTAAAGAATAATGAATGCAATTTTATGATTTCTGATTAAAATAATAGAATATAAGTTTTTCATGTGCCAAATTAAACTACCTCACTTTATCCTTTCATCCTATGGGTCAA